AGAGAGAGAGAGAGAGAGAGAGAGAGAGAGAGAGAGAGAGAGAGAGAGAGAGAGAGAGAGAGAGGTTTGAATGGCTTGCTTTTATCGTTAAACCCCAAGAAAAGAAAAAAACAAGGTGTAAAGAGAAACCCCCTACTGCGAAGAATTGTGTATTTTCTGCCATCTAAAAGAGGATCCTTCTTATGCACCAAGGGAGACATCTGCTGACAAGGTAAGAGATGTGCAATTATTTCGTTCAGAACAGAACAGAACAGGCCAGTTTAGCAACCAACTGCACTCAACCAACTGCACTCAGGCCACCACAACCACCCCTCATGCTCTTTGCATTTTGCTTGCAACATGTCCATGTTTTCCGCGGGTGGAGCCGCCCGCAGCTAAGCCACCTTCTTCCCCCGAATACAATGTACGGCCATTATAGCTGTATCTAGACTGAAACCTGCCTCAAATAGAGCTATAATGACCGTACGTTTTATTCGGGGGAAGAAGGTAGCATATCACTAATTACATCACTAATTGGTCCTCTCCTCTTGGAATATATCTGGCGGGTGTCCGCCCCCACAGGGAATGGTAGTAAAGACTCTTCTTTAGAGGAGAGTCAGTCTTTTTTTTTTTTTTTTTTTTTAATTTGGACCATTTCTCGATTTATGCGTGTCATCCTTGCGCAGGGGCCATGCAATCTTCTCTGTATCGTTCCAATTTTAACGGATGTCCCGAACGACCAGTCAGTCTTTATACCTTTGTATAGCTTTTATATCTTTACAGGCCAAATGATCACCCGGTGATTAGATATAAAAGATATACAAAAAAAAAAAGGAAAAAAAAAAAGAGAAGATTCTCACCCGTCTGCTGATGCCTTCTGGGTTTTTTTGGGCGTCGCCGCAGCGCTCGCCAACTTCCAACCTTCTGAATGTATCAGAACGAAGTCCGTGTTTAGATTCATTCAGAATGTAGCCGTTTGGCGAGTGGGTATACTGACAGTAGGACTTTCTGGTGTATGCATTTGGCTCCATTCCTGCCCCAGATTCAGTCAAAAAAGCCATAACGTGAGTATTTGGCCTGAGTTGGTTCAAAGATGAGTTCGAACTCGGTTGGGACTGAGTTGGGTGGGCCAGGGCCTAGCCTGCGTTTTGTAACTGGCTACCGGTAGGCCCTGGCCTATCCAGTTGTACCTGGCTGTGCAGGTAAGGTGCATCACCTGTATTTAAGGCATCTTTCAGTCTAGACACAGCTATAATGACCGTACGTTGTATTCGGGTGAAGAAGGTAGGCCCTGGATACAACGTGAGTTGGCTGGGCCAGGGCCTACCTTCTTCACCCGAATACAACGTACGGTCATTACAGCTGTGTCTAGACTGAAAGATGCCTCAAATACAGCTATAATAACCGTAGGTTGTATTCGGGGGAAAAGAAGGTAGCATTTTTTCAATCACCTGGGGCAAGGTCCCACTTGCACCGATTACGAGATTCTGGCCGTCGATCTGTGCTATCTACGGTCAATATCTCTTAATTTGTGTTAAGTGGGACCTAGTCCCTGGCGAAATTAGGGTGCGGATTCAATTCCCTCTTTCCGATCGTCATTGATTCCTTGGGTCTCTCTGATTGGCTGTGTTGCAGGACCAGGCTGACTCCAAGAAAAAAAGAGAGGATGAGCACGGAATGAGCAGCAACAAGAAAGAATAGTAATTGCTACAGAAGTGGGGTTGATTAGCCAAGCCAAGGGTCTGTCTGTCGCTGGTCTGCGGTGTGAAGAGGGTTATGAGCAGCTACGGGTCACAGGAGAGTCCTCCGGGGAATGTGATGGAGAAGGTGGTCGGGAAACAGGTGGCCAGTCCAGTTGCGTCGGGATTGGGATATGGCTGCTGCGCTGGAATGGCTCTCTTCTTGGCGTCGAGGGCCACGCTGACTCTGTGCTCTCAGAGTGGGACAGGTGGAGGGTGGGCGAGTGGGCCATTCGCGTCGTGGCACAGCGGGTTGCAGACTTCTGGAATCACTGGTTCGGTCGCCATGGCTGGCGTGTTCTCTGCTCCGACGGCCCCACTCATACCATCATCGTTATCGCTGCTGCAAGCGGAGGGCCGGGAAAGCCAGACGTCGTTTTCGTCAAATAAGGTGCACTCGTATGCCGCAATTCATCACGTGTTAAAAGTCTTGTTAGAATGACTCCTCGTTTGTCTGCGTGTGTGTGCATGTGTGTGTGTGTGTGTGTGTGTGTGTGTGTGTG